CACACGAGATGTACAAATCCACAGACAAACTTCTGGCACCATCAAAGGTTCAGCACATGATCTAAGAAACCATATATTAACTTACGAAACTACTAGAGGTTCAGTGGAAGATGTGCCAAACTACACAAGCAATTAATAAAACCATCCAAGGTTTGGTGGACCATGTACTAAACTGTATTTCCACTTACGAAACTATTACAGGTTTATTAGAAGATCCATCAAACTGTAAAGTAATTTATGAAAGTACGAGAGGTTTAGCATCTCATCTACAAAACCATAAATTCACTTACGAAACTACCAGAGATTTAGTGCTAAATGTATGGAACTATCACAGCTTTAGTACAAGAAGTACGAAACTACAAACCGATTCCAGGCACTATCAGAGGTTCAGTACATGATGTACGAAACCATTAATGAAACTACGAAGCTGTTGGAGGTTTAGTGCAAGATGTACGAAACCGTAAACGCATGTATAATACTATTGAAGGTTCAGTAGATGATTTAGCAAACCATGAACTACTTTGCGGATCCATCGAAGGTTTAGTGTAGAATATACGAAACCATAAAGTAATCCCCGAAACTACCAAAAGTTTAATACATAATGTACGAAACCATAAATTAATTTACGGAACTATCGAAAGTTTGGTGAAAGATGTACGAAACCACAAACTAACTTCTCACATCATTTAAAGTTCAGTACATGATGCATGAAACCATTACCAACCTTACGAAACTATCGGAAGTTTAGTGAAATGTATGCCAATCCAATAACCAATTTTCAGAACCATCAAAGGTTTGGTGCATTATATACGAAACCATAAAGCAACTTACGAAACTATCAGAAGTTTAGTATATGATGTGCGAACCCACAAATCAATTTACGGAACTCTCATAAGGTTTCGCTTATAAATTCCAAAACCTCATTAAATCTCCCGAACTTAAAAAGGTCTTGTATGGCGATTACGAAACGATTTTCAATCTATTGAACTTAAAATGGTTGGGTACAAAAGTGCGAAACTTTTGAAGTTCAGTAAAACACCTATTTTTTTAGAGTGTCTCTACACCCCACACCCGCCATCCACATCTTCACCAACACAACCCCATCCAGACCCACACCCACCACCCACATCTTCACCAACACAACCACATCCAGGCCCACACCCACCTACCCACACTCATCCATAACCACACCCCACACGCACACTCACAGCCACCCATGCCCATACCCCACATCCACACACCCACACCCACACCCTTCATACAACAAGAATCTATAGGTTTTACCGCTAGAACACGAAGTTTGTACCCAGTTAACTGGTTCCCAGACTCCAGTTCTAAACTGGCACTGGTGCATACCTACTATCCCCCGACGTGGTGGATGTCGAAGACCCTTTTTTTCACGTCTTCAATTTTTATTATGTCAAGAAAAGCTCCGAAACACACAATATATGGTCAAATCCCCAAAAAAGAGTCAATTAAACACATAAAATCATTAATGTTTCTCACACAAACATAAGTGACCATTAAGATCATCACCACGAATAAAAATAAGAGAACCCCCAAAACCACGACCAAAACCAGAAAGACCAAGACCTCCACTAGCAAGACCACAACCAGCCATAATGCGACCAAGATCATCACCACCACCAAAAAGACGACCAAAACCAGCACCACCATCAAAAGCATGACGACCATCACACGTTGCACCATCACGCTTGGTAAAAAGCCTGTCATAATCATCGTACCAACGATCTTTATCCGCTTCATTCCAATTCTGCCAACGGCAGACCCACTTCCAAGTGTGCTGATTGCCACTAAAATGCCAATCACGACACTTGTGACATTTAGCGCAGAGGCGCCCGTCACAAAACAGTTTCTTGCACGAGCCAGGTGCGGCAAATTCTTGAAGCTCTGAATAAAAATGCCAAATATTTGTACAATCATACAGGGTACAGGTATTGACTTCAGAAAAAGTCTGTTAACAGGACCACGGTAAACTGAGAGCAATGAACGATAGGATCAGTCGATGGAGAAATTGTTCCTTTTTACGAAATGTTTCACCATACATAAAGTCATGCATATCATGGATAGGCCTGTGACAGCTCCAGGTCACGCGAGCTGGAACTATTTACCAGCTCTTCGATTCAGCTCGCGCGAGCTATTGAGCTAGAGCTGTCGCAGGCCTAGTCATGAATAAAGAAATAGAGCGAACGAACATGAACATATATGTATCATTCGCTGTTCTTGTCAGTACGTTTCAATGCCAACAGATACTGTTTTCTTAGGGTGAAAAAGAAATATGATTGTTATGTGATTACGACTTTTTGATTTCTGCTTTTGAAGATAGAATTTGTTGAAGAGTTTTTTCTTTGTTAATATTTCATTTCTTTTTTCTTAAATTGTTTTAAGTAACAGCTGTTTTTTTAAGGAAGCATTGTTCCTTGTTTTTTTCGAGGTGGGGATTCAAGAGATGCGAGAAATCCAAGAAATCAAAAGAGTTAAAACAATCCAGAAAAATGAAGGAATCGAATGTATCCTAGAAACAGAAGGAAGACAAAACATTCAAGTGTGTGGGTAAAATAAAGAGCAGCATCTTATCCACCATCAAGACAAACAGAATGAAGAGTGACAGGCGAAGAAACACTCATGCTGAAGAGGGTACAGAGCAATTCAAAATAGACGTCCTCTATCATCGAGCGATTTAGAGAAACTTAAGAGGAGCTCATAAAACTCAAAAGAAGTTCGGTTTTGTAGACTTTCTTCTCTTCCAAAAATGCTATCTTAAGAATCTTTGAGGTGTCTCCTATTACTAACAAAAAAATTTAGCTCGGTTGATGAAGGCAGAGTAAAATTATTGAATTTTTGTATTGTAAAGATATTTATAAAACACTCTGTATAAAAATACTCTTTGAAGTTTTTAAGATACGATATATATATATAATAGTTTTTATAAAAAGGTTAATAGCTTTCAATAAATATAATAAGTTCTTGTCGTCATGATTTTGCGTCTGAGACCAAGAGAGTGACCATTTTCGAAGACAACTAGCCAACATTAGATGATCTTTTTTAAACATATTGAACTAGTTCTGGCTCCTCGGCAATTCATTTCATTCATAAGCAGCATGTTTATTCTGGCGAATAGAAATAGTTATTTTATTCCATAGGAATACTATTCGAAATACATGAATATTCTTCATAGAAAATACTTTTCACTAAATATTTCGGATGCAAAATCTCCAATTTCCTAGGAGTCTCACTGCCTTGTAATACACGTAGAAGCTAGGGATGCCAGGGTTTCCGTTCCCTAGGGTTTCGTTCTCTAAGGAACCCGGAACTCGCCTGAAAATCGTTTTTCTGCATTTCCGGACACGCTAGTGTTTGGATAAAACTTACCTTCCATTTTAGAACTAGTCACTATGCGTTCCCGGGTTCCTAGGAACGGAGAACCCGCGAGGTATGGATTCTGAGTTCCTAAGAACGGGGAACCCGCTCAGATTTCGAGTCCCATGTTTTCCGGAAATGAGGTTCCTAAAAACTGGGAACCCACCTGGGTTTCGGGTTCCCAAGAACAGGGAACTCGCATGAGGTTCCGAGTTCCGGGTCCCTGGGAACTCAGAACCCGCTTGAGTTCCCCGCTCCCGGGCACTCGGAACCCGGAACTGGCATCCTTAGCAGAAGCACTGTATTCAGCGTCCCACTGCAAAAAATGTCTGATTGTAACACTTATAAAAATCCATGTTAGATAATGGTGGACGGAGGTGGATACTCAACGCTACATCAGATGCCTGAAAAAAATAGGAAACGACACGTCGCTCATAGTGGTGTCGGCACAGTTACAAAAGGAATTGGTATGTCTGTCGGTGAGATAGAACTTTTTCCTTGAGACATCGATCGTCGACAGATAGACAGAGATTATCCACGATTTAGCCGTGGTTGAGTGATAGGATCATTAGAACTGGGTTTTTTTCACGAAAGAATACTACTGTATTAAAAGCATGGGGAAACGGCGGACACCCAAGATTCCGAATCCTTGGGAGTACAATGAGGATCCCAAAAATCGTGGGAGTACAGTGGGAATCCCAAGAGCAGGATGAAAATCCGAAGAGTACAATAGAAATCCAGAGAGTGCAATAAAATCCCAGGAGTACAATGAAAATCTCAAAAATGCCGCGAGCAGAGAATCTGCCGTTTCTCTCTTAGCAGCTATATTAAAGTTCGAACGCGGTTCTCATCCGATGGTTTCTATGGAAAACTGTATCTATTAAATCATTGCCACCTTAACAAGCAGATTGATCCAAAGATAATGTCAAAATACTTTACATTTCAAGGAAGAAACGGTGAATTTTGTACTCCTAGGATTTTTTAGATTGTCATTGTACTCTCAGAATTTCCGCTGTACTCCCGAGATTCTCACTATACTTCCGGGATTCCCATCATATTCCCAGGGTTCTTGGGATTCTTATTGTACTCCTAGAGATTCGGAATCTTCGGAATCCACAGTTTCTCCCTGGATTCGGAGTACGCCAAGAATCCCAAAAATCCCATGAAAACCCTGGGGATCCGATGGGAATCTCAAGAATTCCATGAGTACGAAATCCGCCGTTTCCCTCTTGATTAAAAACAACATACCTGTATTCGGCGTAGATTGCGGTTTCGATGCCGCATCTGTGTTTTTCGGCATAGCAGCACGACTGGCTGTGGTTTGGATTGGTTGGTGGGAGTCTGAAAGAAGAGAAAGTAATACCCATGCAGACAGATAAACGGCAAAACGCCGTTTTGATGCGTTGACGATGAGAATTGAAGAAAACAACGCTATAAAACTCGTTTACTAGGCAAATTCAAGAAATAAACGCGTGAAAACGGATTTTTTTGTTTAACGCATTTAACGAAGATATTAGAGTAATGAACATGTTTTAACGTCTGTATGCAAGGAATTTACACAAGTTAATGCACTTTAACATAGATATATCATACATTTTAATGAATTGGCATAAAGAAAAATTAATTGAAGAGAAGCTGCTTGTTAATATTAACTAATATAAAATTCTACCGAAAGTACACTAAAAGTAAAGCAAACAGCTATCTATTTATTATGACTAAGTGCTTCCACTTCGATTAGAGTACTGAAAACAAAAAGGATTTATGAACAGGAAGAAATTTAATATCAGTTCTAGGTTGAAAAACAAGTTTTTGCATAATAGATTGTAAATTAGTGACTTCTTATGTTGTTTCATGATAAGTTCCATACAATAAATTTGTGCAAAAAAAGGTGTACGTATGTATGTTGCTATCGATGAATTTTGTGATACTACTGAAAATATTGTCATCGCTAGCATATTTACATCCGCTTTTCTATAGAAAACAGTACAAAGATGTGTTAAGTCATCCAAGGTAAGAAAATGAAAAGAAACAAATAATTCGATTGGAATCCTTGAAAAAAACGGCCGAAAACAGTTTGACTCTTTATGTAACAAAAGATGATATTCGATGTACAATAAATGCACTTAAACAGTCAAGTGTGTGTAACTCTATTAATGTGAGGATATTTTTTGGTCGATAGCAGGTAATAATTTATCTTTATCTAATAATTCATTTCCATTGAATTTAGGCCGAAAACACACTAGAACAAATAAAACTGAATTAAGCAATGTTATTGGTTAATTCAGTTTTATTTGTTCTAGTGTGTTTTTGGCCTTAGTATACAAGAAAAGCAACAGAAAACATAAAGAATAGTTAACTCGCAAAGAAAAGATTCTAAAAAGAATAACTATTTCGATTGTTTTTTTCTTCTGACAATTCACTTTTTCCCTAGTTGATTATTTAAGTAGATTTCACTAGCCAATAGTTATCTACTGCTATGTGTTTCTGTGCGTTAATTTCATTCGTCGTAACATCGTTCTTTGTTTCTTTCTCTTTGTTTCTGTGTCTCTCTTTCGTAACACACTAACGTAAGTTGGGAACACTTGCATCATATGTATTTGTATAGTAATCGTAATGAGCACCTAATTAGAACATTTTTCACAAGGTTAGTTTACATTAGAACGTTTTAAAGTGAATTAAAAATAGAAATTTTTGTATGAATAATTAGAATAAAACGTTGTTTTACTGCATGTCAATAGAATTTTTGCATGAATTGAATATACATTTTTGTTTAAACGAATGAACAGAATGAAAATATATTTAACTGTATATTAATAGAATGATCTTCATAAGAAATAGAGAGGAAGTCTTTGCATAAACGGAAGAACCGAATCTTTTACTGCATGACAATAGAACTTTTATGTTTTATCTAGGAATGAGGTTTAAAGTATTGAACACAAAGAAAATATTTTTCACTGCGTCTTAATAGAGTTTTCGTCGCACGCACTTTAGTCACAACCTTTTGTATAGATCAATAGACTGTAAAACTCTTGCTGCATGTATATAGAATATTTTTGTTTAAATTAAATATAGAATTTTTCAGAGCAATGAGCAGATTAAATAAAATTATTGAATAATTATAGAATAGCCTTCACAAGACATAGGTGAGAAGCCTACATGAATGAATGATCGTGATCCTTTAATGCATGCTTACAGAAATTTTGATAAGTGATTTAGGAATAATGTTATTAAAAAGTGAACAGAATAATATCTTTCTATCGATTGCAAACTTTATCTACCATTTTTAGGATATAGATAGTTTTTTCATCGCCGTATTCGTCGTGTAAGATGTGAGCAATATAACTAAATGAAATAATCTTAAGTAATTAAAGTTTAACGTTCATTACTCCCAGTTACGCAATTACAACTATTTGTATTTTAGACCCTCTTGCCATTTGCTATCATAAGGGGACAAATTAGTAGCACATGAAATCCATTGAAAAATAAATCCACTTGGAAGAGCAGTAGAAATTAATCAGTGAATAATTGAGTATTTGAGTGCTATAAAATCAAGGGGGAAAAAGCGAGACTCCATGTACTCCAAAAAAAAAATTGGAGCACAGTTGGAGTACAGTTGGAGTACCATTGGAGTACAGTTGGAGTACCATTGGAGTACAGTTGGAGTACCATTGGAGTACCGATGGGGTACGAGTGGAGTATGTACTCTTGGAGTCGCGCTTTTTCTCCCTTGTATAAAACACATTGAAAATTTTTTCAAGATTGAACACTAGTTATTTTTTATTAGGAGATTTCTATATGTAATTTCACAGTTATCAGAAGAAAAAAACAAGAGAAGAAAAGGACTGTTACATATACATATATATCTAATTACAGTCGACTTTTTAAACAAAATAGATATACATGAAATGAAAATAAAATATGTAAATTTTGTCAAAAACTGTGAACTGTATTTAGCGATATATGTATATCTAATAATCCTTTTTTTTCTGATAACTGTGAGAGTACACAGAAATCTCCTAATAAAAAATAACTAGTATTCAATATTGAAAAAAATTTCTATGTATTTTATAGCACTCAAATACTCAATTATTTACCCGTGAAAACGTATACTTTCAACGCATTTAAACTTTCAACAAATGTCCGATTTTTCGCGTTTTAGTGCGTTTACTTAAGTACCGGGGTTAAACGTTTGTGTTTTCACCAAGGGGTGAATAGCGGAATCCTGGAATTCAGAATTCCCTATATTTCTAGGATGCCCTCGAATTCC